GTATATACCATTATTATTATTATTATTATTATTTATTTATTTTCCATTTGACATTTACTTACCAAATAAGTTTTACTACAAAAGTTTTGGGGGGAAAATTTGTTAGGAGGATTTTATTTTTATATATACTAGTATTTTCGCCCGTGCGATGCACGGGATTGATTTGTTATAATATATTAAAAATATTTGGATTGATATATAATTATTTAAATAAGAATATCAAATATTATACAGTGCAATTGAAGATGTGTTTTGAATTATTTATGTGTTTTGATGTTATCATTGTTTGAATTTGAGCAAATAATTGCTCAAATTAATAGTTAATGTGTAGATGTACGCATGCGATGCTGTAACTTTGGAGATTTTATTTATCATTGTTTATTATTTTTTTTATAAATTAGGCAAATATGTTCGTTCTCTAGGAACTCAGTTATAGGAATGAATTGCTATCTTAATTTATTTGTATGAAATATATATACATATATATATATATATATATATATATATATATATATATATATATATATATATATATATATATATATATATATATATATATATATATATATATATATATTTGTCTAGATATATAGCAATTTTGTCATTTAAAAAAACATAATATCAACGATTGTATTTACACATTATTGAAATCTGTTTGTAGATGACATTGGTTGTAGCAACGCAATCCTGTCCATCATCGTATAGAGCTAACACCTGCAGTCCATCAGGATAAGTGACTCGGGTGAAAATATATAATGGTAGAGTATTAGTCAATTAGCGATCCTTTTATATTTTTAAGTCAATTAGTAATATCAAATTCATTTTTAGCAAATTATTCTTTTATATTTTTAGTCAATTAGTCAATTAGAATATCATATGCAGTGTTATTTTTACCTAATTTTCGTTCAATTTTTAATTAATGATGTATAATATTATTATTGAAATGACACCAAATATATATATATATATATATATATATATATATATATATATATATATATATATATATATATATATATATATATATATTATTGAAATATTTACATTCCATTTTGTTTAAAATATGCATTTACTATTTATGATGTAGAAATATTATTGAAATATTTTCGTCAAATTTTAGTTTCCGTTCCATTTTTAATTAAAATGCAATGATCAAACCATTTATTTTTTTTCATATTAATCAATTATGGATCATTTTTTAGGCAGTCAACTATTAGTATTCATTTCTTTTTATATTTTCAGTCAATTTGTAATGCCATATTCAGTTTCAGCCAATTATTCTTTTTATTTTATGTTATTTTATTTTCATTCAATTAGTCAATTAGAATATCAGATGCGGTGATATTTTTACCTAATTTTTGTTCCATTTTTAATTGATGATGTGGAATATTATTATTGAAATATTCCGGTTTCATTTTTAATTTTTGTTTCATTTTTAATTTACCTTTACTATTGTTTAAAATATGCATTTACTATTGATGATGTAGAATATTATTATGTAAATATTTCATTTTTATTTTTAATTTACTTTTACTTGATGATGTAGAATATTATTATTAAAATATTTTCGTTCTATTTTTAATTTCCATTTTATTGTTTAACATTGTGAAAGATTTATGACATAATTGTGATTTGATGTATTATACTATTGTGAAAAATTAAAATGCAATGATCTGACCATTTCCTTTTTCATTTTAGTCAATTATGGATCATTTTTATTTCTAGTCAATTATTAATATTCATTTCATTTTCCAATTAACCTAACTTCAATTCTTTTTTTTTTTCATTTTTAATTTTCTCCAATTAACCTAACTTCAATTCCTTTTTTTTTCATTTTTAATTTTCAGTAAATTATTAATATTCATTTCTTTTTCTAATTTACCTAATTTCCATTCCATTTTTGATTGATGATGTAGAATATTATTGTGAAATATTTATGTTCCTTTTTTCATTCTTTTTTTAATTTACCTTTACTATTTACTATTGTTTGGACAGGAAATCAAATAAATAGGATTTTGTTTTTAATTATAGTATAGATTTGACCGTGAGGTTGTAACAAACACACACACACACACACACACACACACACACACACACACACACACACATATATATATATATATATATATATATATATATATATATATATATATATATATATATATATATATATATATATATGATGAATTGGTTATATTATAAATTGTTTAAATTTGTTATATAGGGTATTATGTTATGTGAGAGCATTGAATATGAAAACAATATTCCCAAGATTTTAGTTGATTTCTACTTTATATTTGCTTACAAAATAAGTTGTATAAAATTAGTTGGTGATAAACATCCAAAAATTCTACACGGTAATACCATACATAATATTAACAATTATGCTATTATGTTATTACCTAATTAATTAATGTCTTTTCTACACGATATTATAAATACGTAAAAAAATATGGAGAATTTGCAAACAATAATGTTACCAAAAATATTATTATATTATAGAATATAACTAATATATCTTGGAAGTAAAATTTGAGCTCTAAGATCATATAGCGCACTCTTTGATCCTATATCAATAAATAATTAGTTATATACACATTTAGCAGTACCAATGTCATTACTAATACTTTATATATATCTGCAGTATTGAACCTTTAATGTGAGATAAGAAAGAAATAATCAGTTAAATGATGCCTTTATTTGGATGCACTAAGACTATTACAATGCTCCATCACTTTGCAAACATGTACAACTTTGGCTTTATTTTATACTTTAAATTATACTTTGCTTATCCTTTAGATTTTAATGTATTATTTTAAGCTAATTTATTTATTAACATTAAAAAAAATACATTTTAAAGTGTGACAATTTATACTAATAAATCATTTTAAAAAGTGGCAAAAAATGATTTTCTAATTTCATGCCACTGCATCAATTTAAAAAAAAATTATTGCTATTGTTTACCTCAATCATCTCATAAATATCCATAATTTTTATTAGAGGGGTCTAATCAACACATAAACTGAAAAAAAAAATGACAATCATAAACAAAATATGTACAAAAATAAATGATAAAAATATCATGATAATGATTAAGACATAATAAATTTACCTTTCCAAAAAATCACAAAACTCTGGAAATCCTGATTGAAAAGTAGCTGTGTATCAAAAGTTACATATCTTGACATAACTGGCTAATCAAAAAGAACATTCATTACTTGTCCTTATTCAAACACTTTCAAATATAAAGAAAAATTAAAATACTTGTGTTTAGATTAACTCTTCGTATCATTTTTAACTCTACACAATTGCATAAGAACAACAATAGGATTTGCAAGGCCAGAATTTCAAAAAAAAAAAAAAAAAAAGGTTTCAACTCTTGGCCTTGGTATATGTTGATCCCACACTGTAGCTTTCAATTGATTGTCCCTATAAACAAATAAACTACGGAGTTCATAATAAAAAATACATATACAAAATACAATAAAAATAACAAAATTAGATAATTTACTTTGTATCCACGTACAATTAGAAAATCAATAAGTTAAGAAAGCTTCCCTGCAATGATCTTATCCAATGGGGAGTATATCTCAACGACCCTACCAATAACGTCAAACATGTTAATAAAAAAAAAAAAGAATTCAGATGTAGATTAAAATTGTAAATGAAACTTACCAACGAATTGTTTATCATCTACAGACTTCAAAGATGAAAATGATTTCAATAAATAAATTTGTCTAGAAAAGTTGTCATTTTTTATATTCTTTAACCAAAGTAGCATAGTGGAATTACAACATAAAATAATGAGTCCATTTTTTGAAAATATAGAAATTACTTATCACTATAAAATTTTTAATGGCATAAATTTTTCATTGTTTGAAAAACTTACAGTACTTACCAACATGTTCCCTTGGTATATGAGCATGAAGTTTCCTACAATGAAGTAAAAAAGAAAAGTGTTATTTTGCAATTTATTTTTGCAGTATAGGAAGCAGCTTTGTAATGCATTTTTTTCCCAATTTCATATACAACACGAGTTCTAGAAAAAAAGCAAAATAATAAAAAAAAATACTATTTGATCGGGAAATATGCACTCTCTAGATTTTATGGAATCACTCCCCTTTCTCTATGGAACTTCATATAGATGCACACCAATCACCATCTAATAGCTTTGAAAGTCTTCAATGGATAAATATCCTAGGCAAGAATAAACATTGGAGTCGTATAAAAAAAGCAAAATTGAAAAAAAAAAAATACCTCTTGATCGTGAAGCATGCACTCTCTAGATTTTATGGATTCACTCCCCTTTCTCTATGTGACTTCATATAGGTGCGCACCAATTGCAGTCTAATAGCTCTGCAAGTCTTCAATGGAGAAATATCCTGGGCAAGAATAAACGTTGGAACCGTAATAGTTGTATGTTAGTATACATATCTATATCTCTATATATACTTACTCAATATAAAAGAATGAATAAATAAATATAAGGAAAAAATATTACCAATTAATAGATTACCAATTAGGTTAATACGTGAATATGGAAACAATATTATCAATTAATAGATTTTAATTAATTTCTATGTTACATTTAGTTACCAAATAAGTTTTACTACAAAAGTTTGAGCGGGAAAATAAAATAGGAGGATTTTACTTTTATATATATATATAGATATATAGATATAGATATAGATATAGATTATATACACACACTATTATTTTTAAAAACTTAATATAACTTAGATTTTAATATTTAAGTTTAATATTGGATATATATTTTTTGCGCATCGCGCATATAAAATACTAGTAATATAAAAAAGGAAGAAAATTCATTTTCATTTGCCTCGAGAAAAAAGTAAAGCGCTGCCGAGATTCGAGAAGGCGGAGAAGCATGACTGCATGAGTACATTATTCTAATATTCTATTTCTTTTGGAAAAAGAAATATACAGAATAAACAAATATAATATCACACAATAATTAACAACGCCCAAAATATATACAACTAGAGCGCCTGTTCAAAGTGGACAGTCCACAAAACACACCATATTCGTTGTCGTCAGCCTCCGTTCCTTCGGCAGTCAGATTCACGCTACGATACCCTTCTTCAATTCTTCCCTTATTCTTAGCAATTTTTCTCTCCTAGTTCTCTTCAAGAATGCATTCCAATCACTTGCTTCTCGAAGAGCCCATCAGGATGGCCTCCATCTTGGAGCCATCCAAAGCCGTGAGTCTCTAATACCCGATTTTTTTTTTTTTTCTTATCGCGGGTTTAGCTGCAGATCCGTGATCTTTTTCTTTGTTCGGGTGTGTTTTCTTTAACTTCTGATTTGGTGTTTGTTCCAGAGTTTCTTCCCGGCAATGACTAAGATCGTGGGGACACTGGGTCCCAAGTCTCGATCCGTCGAGGTTATTTCTGGCTGTCTCAATGCTGGGATGTCTGGTAATATAGTACTTTCAACTTATTTCGCTTATATTATGTTTTTTGCGGGTTGGGTTTTTATGTTTAGTGTTTTGGGTATTGACTTGCAGTTGCAAGATTTGATTTTTCATTGGGAGATGCGGATTATCACCAGGAGACTTTGGAGAATTTGAGGACTGCTATTAAGAGCTCTAAGAAACTATGTGCTGTATGTATACAAAACTATGCTTATTTTTCCGGTAGATTTTATTTTATTTTCTTTGTCAGTACCACTACATCAAGAATTGAGGCTATGGTCAAAATTCTTTACCGACTAATATGCAACTAAAATTATATTTTCTCTTCTGGTCTTATGAGGGACGTCAAACAAAACCCAGAGTCTTCGGTTTGCTTGAACCATGCTTAGTACTAATAGTTAACTATTTAAGCACGATATAAAAGTAAGCATCAGGTAAGTTGTTTTCTCCCATTGGGTTTAAAGTAAAATAAAAAAATTCTGCTTGTTGTAGGGATCTTCAGACCTCTGTTGGTGTAGATAGGTCTCTACATGCTAGTTTTAAATTTAGGCATCTAAGACCTCTTGTGTTTCCCTTCAAGTAAAGGCGTAAAGCCATTTATTTATTTATTTTTTTGGTTTGGTGCATCAATACTAGTGTCATTTGTGGATTGCATTAGCCAAGTTGAGGCTTTGAGGTACCATTTCATATATTGAAGACAGTATCAAGTGTGCTGTATTTGACCCTTTCAGGTTATGTTAGATACAGTGGGTCCGGAGTTGCAGGTTGTTAACAAAAGTGAGAAGGCTATTTCACTAAAGGCAGATGGCATTGTTACTCTGACCTCTGATCAAGGCCAAGAAGCATCTTCTGAAGTGTTGCCTATCAATTTCGCTGGGTTGTCTAAGGTTAACTTATCTACATGTCATCTTTGTTGTTATATATGCTTGTCTTTTTCCATGTATTCACAACTGTCTGTAATTTTTGTTACACGTAGCTTCTATAAAGTTGTGCTTCTTCTAAAAATTGACACTTTATTTGCTTTGCAGTCTGTGAAGAAGGGAGACACCATTTTTATTGGCCAATACCTCTTCACAGGAAGTGAGACTACTTCTGTTTGGCTAGAGGTATGATAAAATTACTTCTGCACATCAGCACATGGCATTTAGTTTGGTGAAGAGATGGGATTGTCATAGTTGTGACTGTTGTCAAGTGGATGCACTGCTTCTTTAGGAATTATCCATTTCTTTTGGAGTTGATTTAATTGGGAAGCAAAGATTTCCATGGGTTTATCTTCCATAGCAAAAGGTTGGTTAATTTTAATTTGAGAGTTTACACTTAAGTCTCTGAATGGGTTGTGCAGGTAAACGAAGTGAAGGATCAGGATGTGGTCTGTGTGATTAAGAACTCTGCAACTTTGGCTGGATCATTGTTCACTCTGCATGCTTCCCAAATTCATATTGACTTGCCTACGCTATCCGACAAAGATAAAGAGGTAATTACGAGAACCTCTAAGCACCACAGACAATTTTGTCTAGTTTTCACTGATCAGGTGCAAGTAACATAATGTAGTTTTGCCAAAGTTTTCTTGTAATCTGTTATTTAACATGTTACATGTATGTGATGTAATGTGGATGCATTTCTGTTTAACTGTTTCATGTGCCCACATTGTATCTATAGACATCAACTCATTTTTTCATTCTCTTCTTTTCTGATAACTTTTATGCCTTCTGAGTTGTCGGTAACTAATATTATTAGCTTACTTATTGTAATTGGCAATCAAGTAACTACATTTGACTATTTTGTTTCTCCTTTTTGGTGCTTCTTTTCTGTACCAACGCTTTTTGAGCCATCATTAACTTTGTTTTAGGTTATAAGCACGTGGGGAGTAAAAAACAAAATTGATTTCCTTTCACTATCTTATACAAGGCATGCTGAGGATGTTCGGGAGGTGAGCTTACTGTTTGATACTTTTGTTTTTTGACTTAATGATTAAGTATTTTGGGCTATTATAGTCAAATTTTTTTTTTTGAGAAAATTATAGTCGTTCTAGACAGTTCAGTGTTCAATTTCAATTGTCTTCATGGCTGTTTGTACTTAAATTCAGGCTCGTGAATTTCTATCTAAGCTGGGCGACCTTAGTCAGACTCATATCTTTGCTAAGATTGAAAATGTAGAGGTAAGTTGCCTGCTAGAAATGTTATTGCTATTTTAATAACTTGACAATTTACTTTTCCTAATACCATTGTCCACAGGGTTTAACTCATTTTGATGAGATCCTGCAAGAGGCTGATGGCATCATTCTTTCTCGTGGAAACCTTGGCATAGATCTCCCACCTGAAAAGGTTAGTTTATCTCATCTTTTGAAACTGGACATCATCTTTTATTGGCTACTTCATGTATATATGATGAAGTTGGTCAACAACTTTCTTCTTCTTTTTATTTATTTATTTATTTTAATTTAAAGAAAGTACCATAGAACCTTATATTTATATTAACAGGGAAATGAGTTTCCTTTATACTGATGTATGTTTTCAATTTTAATTTTTATTCACTCTCGCTGCAGTTTAAGAAACATTAAATGTTATGAGTTCCAAATATTTCCTAGTATTTTAAGCAGGCAGGGTTAGATTATCTTTTTTTTTTTTTTTCTTTCACATATTCTTTATTTCAGAGGAAACTAACTGTTAAGTCAAGAACTTTCATAATTATTACCCCAATTTAGCAAACATTGCTGTTCACCATTCTTGGACCTCAATAGTTCATTTGGATTATTACTTGTGTTGTAATTATCTTGAGCATTTTGGAAATTAATACATTTAATCCAGTTTTTTAAATATGGAAAAGAATGTTTATAGTTTCGCTGGTGAAACAAACTTGTGCCGCCATGACATCAAGGCCCATTATTTCTTGGTAGATTATAATGCTCATTAGAAATATGTTGTGGGATTTGCAGGTCTTCCTGTTTCAGAAGGCTGCTGTGAATAAGTGTAACATGGCTGGAAAACCAGCAGTTATAACACGTGTTGTGGATAGTATGACTGACAATCTTAGACCTACACGTGCTGAGGCAACTGATGTTGCAAATGCTGTCTTGGATGGTAATTCTAGAATCTTAGAAATAAATTTCATTTTTATTAAAAAGGAAAAAACTTACAATTATTATATTTTTTTAGCATTCTGAATTTGCCAATACTTACAATTTTCCATCATGACATTTTGTAGGCACGGATGCCATCCTTCTTGGTGCCGAGACTTTGCGTGGATTATACCCTGTTGAGTGTATTTCCATTGTGGGTAAAATTTGTGCTGAGGTAAGATTATGACTGCATAACTGGGAATAATTATTTGTTCATCCTCTATTATGTTCTAGTCGTATGTGCCCTAGTTGATCAACTCCTAGTCTCCTACTTTCTCTGCAGTCAGAGAAGGTCTTTAATCAAGATATGTACTTCAAGAAGACTGTCAAATTTGTCGGGGAGCCTATGACACACTTGGAATCAATTGCTTCCTCTGCGGTAATTTTTATTTTTAAATTGATTCTTTTCCCCGCTCCTAATAAAGTGGAAAAGGAAAAAATGACTAAATAAATTTATTTTCCTTATCCCCTGTAGGTACGAGCTGCTATTAAGGTGAAGGCTTCTGTGATTATTTGCTTCACTTCATCTGGAAGGGCAGCAAGGTGCTTAGTAATCTCCATAATTTGTAGAGTGTTCAACTGTTTTTGTTGTTCTGTACATGATTTTTTTTTGTATCTGTGCTTATTAAAATGCAGATTAATAGCAAAATATCGCCCAACAATGCCAGTAATATCAGTTGTCATTCCTCGCCTCAAGACAAATCAACTAAAGTGGAGTTTTAGCGGTGCATTTGAGGTGTGTGTCACAATGTTACATAATTGCATTTGATTATAGACGCCCCAACTCCCCTCCCCCCTTCCCCCACACGCACACACCCCATTTGGATTCTGGAACTTCTATTAATTAATTATCTAATTATTACTTCTTGCCCAGGCAAGGCAATCCCTGATTGTTCGTGGTCTTTTCCCCATGCTTGCTGATCCTCGACATCCTGTGAGTTTTCCCTTCATATTATCACTGGATTTCTTTTCTTCAAAATTCTGTTGCATGTAAACATTCATTGGACAATAGAAACCTTGAAGCTTATGCCACATATTGTTCAAAAATTCTTGCTTTTCCTCAGAGAACACTTCATACTCCTACATCTTGTTGCTTAGACTTTGGTATTTCGCACAATCTTCTTTGTTATCAAATAGCCATTTGAGTTGAACACCAGAAAAGTACATCTGATGTTTGCTCTGTTTTATAGGCCGAGTCTACAAACGCCACAAATGAGTCTGTGCTTAAAGTTGCCCTCGATCACGGCAAGGCTTCAGGGGTTATAAAGTCACATGACCGAGTTGTGGTATGCCAAAAAGTTGGAGACGCTTCTGTGGTTAAGATTATTGAACTCGAAGACTAAGGCTGCCACACTGGGCGTTACATCCCACAGATTTTTGAGTGCAAAGGTGGACTACCAAAGCCTTCACTGTGAGGATTTAATTTAGGTTTTGGTTTATACTACATACTGTGGACTAGATAAAATTGTTGATTAAAACCCGATTTTATGGCATCCGTTAGACCATGTTTCATTGGGCAGGGTTTTGTATTAATATTGTTCTTTTTAAATTTTGAATATGGAATGCGAAATGTGCATCTTATGGAGAATATGGATACAATCTTTTTGTGTAAAAACAGAATGAATGCTCAATAAAGTTGTAGTGGGAACTTTGGGAAGAAGTAGCTGCTTTCGATTTACTCATTTTTATTTTTTATTTTTACTTTTGCCCTAACATGAGAGATATTATTATTTTTTTTCTAAAGAAAATTTTAATTTTAGTCATTGACTATAATGATATTGTCACATTTATGAGTTGTTTGGTAGAGACATGATATGCATTGCAATTTCACCATAATTCTTTGGACACTCTAATTACAATATTTATTTGGAGGGAATTGCAATTTTACGGAATTAGAATTGTAATTTTGTGAAATTGTAATTCATTTTTTTTTTTTTTTGTTGAATTGTAGAATTGTAATTCCCTCTTTTTGTTGAATTGCAATTCATGTGGTACTTTCATGAATTAACAATTCAATGGTTGTGGAAAAGAAAAAAATTGATTAAATGACACTATTACCCTTTGTTATTATTACAATTATTATTATACAAAGGTATTGTAGTCTTTATATCATTTATTTCTTTCTCAATTCAAATAATTCTATTCTTTTCTGCCAAACAATGTAATTTGAATTTCTACTTTATTCTTTTCCTATCAAATTATAATTCATTTCTTTCATAATTTTTTCATTCCAACCAAACGCGCTGTTAGTCTTTTTATTTATTTATTTATTTATCTATTTTTGACTTTTATTTATTTGTTACAAGTGTTAAATAATATAATATGTAATTTCGTTTTCTAATTAGAAGAGTTGAGAGGAAGAAAAGTTACATCTTAGTACAAGAAGTTGGATGGTTAAATTAAATTTTAAATGAAAGATAGTTGTGACAAGTAAATAAAAATTAAAGATGAAAAAAGACTTAATGTAACAATGCTATCATAGTTTTTTTTTTAGTATTCTTGACTTTGTTACAATGAAGTATGCTATCATAGTTGATAGTTAAAAAATGAAATTTTATTTTCACACACTTATCATTTTCCTTTCTTCCCAATGATTTTTCTTTCACTAAATATTTGTTAACGCACTAAGGATATCCTCAATAGTGGGAATTTTGGTATGATTTTTGAGGAGTTTTTGTAAGTGTGATTGGAAAAGAGAAAATGGAAGAGGAGGTAAAAAAAAATGCCAGCAAAAGGAAAAAAGAAAAAAAAAAAAAAAAAAGAACGCGAAACGCGCCCAACTGGGCGCATCTTTGACTTGCACATGCGGAGAAGCTTTTAAAATTGGTGGGACCCACAATTTCTGCAAAATCCCAAGTCTTCTTGCACCACACCCATTTCTTCTCTCTCTTCCTCCCAAACAACTCAACCTAAAGAACCGTGTAAAATACCCTATCATTTCAAACATCTTTTATTTTATTTTCATTTAATAATTTTATTTAATTTAAATAATATTCTAAATTAAATATATCAAATTTAATTGTAATTAATTTTTACATAAATTATTATAAATATTTATAATTTATATATTACATATAACAAATGTTTTTTTTTTTTTTTAAAATAAACTACTCAATATGTCCTATTTTAATTGAGCTAATACTCAAAATGGTCATCGACTATGATGATTTTTCTCAATTTCATCATAGACGACTTTGGCGACCTATTGTGGTCTCAAACTTTTGTGTTTTTGCTCAATTTAGTCTTCCATTTGTTATTTCGTCAATTTGGTGTTAAATAGAGGCACTATTCAATAATTTCAATATCGACATCTCTTTACTCCTAGACATGCGAAGTGTAAAATCTCTATTTCTTTTACAAATTACTCCAAAACTTGTGGATATAATATTTAATTCGCAGGTCTAAAAGTAATTCTGAGAGTAATCCGTAAAAAAAAGATGAATTTCGCATTTAACAGACTGAGAGTAAAAGAAGGTCAATATTGAGATTACTAAAACAACAAACAGATAACTAAATTGAAAAAAGATAAAAAAAAAAAAACTGAACTAAATTATGTCACCAAATTCGTTTAGGATGAAATTTAGAAAAACCGCCAAGTACAACCTTCCCGACGTACTCAGTCGCCAGTCACCACCTCGCCACGGCATCTCCACCACCATGATTTGATCCGGTTTTAGAAGAGTTAAGGGAATGGGTGCGGCGTCATCCACCCTGACGGAGAACGGCTCCGACAATGGCCGGCCGGGGTTAGGGGACAGCTGCGTGGCGTGTGTGTTCACCTACCTGACACCCCCGGAAATCTGTAACTTGGCTCGCCTCAACCGCGCCTTCCGTGGCGCCGCATCCTCTGGTGCCGTCTGGGAAGTCATGTTAGAAATATACAAATGAAATTGACATGTTTCATATAATCTAACCTCAATAGCGGAAGCATAGGATCAAGCATACCTCCAGCCATAGTTGATACCTTCACTGCATTGTGTGAAGAACACTAAAGAACTGCTTTTTGTCTACCACTTTATCTCCTATTCAACTAGATGGTGTAGTCACAACGTCACAGGAGCAGTGGGAGGACCAAACATATATATAACCTACGTGCCATCATTATAGGTTAAGTAACGGAAACCGTTACTTCCGTTTCAAACCACAACATAATGGCCATAAATGGCCTATTAACGGTGGCCTAATCACTTAATGGTGACATAATGGAAAATGTTACATTCTCCCACTTGGTGAAGTATTAACTCAAAGAAGCAAAAAACATGAACCATAGAGATAGTTCCTCTTAATTTAGAGTAGTATCCACTAATCATTACAATGTAACTTCCTCTCTAAGTACCTTATGTGGTATAAAACTTAATGAATAACCTTTATGTTCATTCTTGATTATAATTAGTTATCAAAAACTAATTATTGCCGCAATGGCTAAATTTGGCCTAATAACTTGCATAACTTCATTTGTACAATATTAATGGAAAATGTTACAATTTTCCACTTGGTGCAAGTATTGACAAAACCTTTGTTGAAGATCAAAAAACATGGATCATAGTGGTATGTCCTCTAAATTAAAGGGTGGGTAATACCATCTATGCATCACATGCATTTTGATTCCCAACTCAGGTCCTTTATGAATAAACCTTACGTTTACTCTTGGTCCAACCTTATGGATGTTTCTCAAATAAATATGCACATAACCATAGGAGAAACCATCCAAATTACATAGAGGTGACAACATAAATGTACGTACAATATAGTCACTGGTAGGATATATCCCGACCGACACAGCTCGGTTTCTTTTGTTCTTTGTGCAAGTTTTACAGGTCGGATATTCTTAAAGAAGACGGTCGGACCCGACTGGTAGACTTCCCGATCGATCGCCTTTGTCACCCGTTTAGTTACCCTTATCAAGGATCTCGAGAAGAGGCACATGGCGATACTACACGTTGACAGAAAGGGTTCGCGGGATGGTGACGCGTGGATGCTACGTGGGTTACATGCCGGCCGGAGCTGTGTCTCCGGCCTAGCGGCTATAAGTACCCACGGCGGCTACAGTGTGAGGGACTTTTGAACGATCGATAGATTGTCTACAGAGCTGCCCGACCGCAGTCAGTCGACTCTCGGGATAATCACTTAGATTGTATTAGGTCCTTCATTGATCAATAAAGACTTTTATTTGTTATTAATTGATCTAATTTAAGTACCTTGACCGCTTAACACGTGGAATTAGTACTATCAGTCACATAATAAGTTCCATGTACCCTGTATGATCCCTAAAATTCTTATAAGCATGCCTTAAGTAGGGATTTGAAACTATTAGCAAAAATGCTAATATATCGCACGACTAACTCATTATCTTTAATATTATCGCTGACAGCTAAGTTTTCAGAGTTGACACGTCTGTCACTCCTACTCTCAATAATCTTAGCCAAAGATAATAATTGAGTAGTCCATATTCCAACGATTTAGATAACAAATTCATGAGTCTAAGCCCACAAATGGAACTTTAAACATACACCTTATAAATGATCTCCAAAAAAAAGAAAGAAGCCCAACTTTCATGTTATAGAGCAATAACGAGGATTTATTAATGTAACTTTATGAAACAACAAAAATATTGTATCATCATAAAAACAAAAAATCCTCAAGATTCATCTATATGAACCAACATCATGAGTCTTTGCATGCTTTATGTCTCTCAACATTGAATCTTGAACCTTTTAAATCTTAATGGCGCAGGATCAATTTGATGAGATGAAAGACTCCAATATATGCTAAAGAATCTAACTCGTGATAGTTCACCATAAACTTAATGTCATTGTTATAATAAAAACTATTAATGTTGTTACAACATTTTCAGAAATATGTTGCACAACTTGTAGTTCAACAATTTGAACTATTGATTTTATAATAACAAGGTAAGGTGTCTTATCCTTGAAGTGGAGCAATCTTGAGGTGGGACATCTTTAATGATCTTTCCAAATGATCACTCCACTGATCAAACGGGGTATCTTTATTGGATCTTTTTCAAATGATCACTCCCACTGTTCAAACCATTACTCCCACTAATAAAGTTATTCTTGAGCATAAATGATATACACACTAATGATCCTCAAGTCCAACTCATTTAACAAGGATTATAATTCCTCACCATAGTTGGACATGTTAAATATGTACATGTAACAGACATAATTTCCAACTACTTAAACAAATTAAATTGCTTTAGTTGAAATTTGGCTAGATATGTACAATTCCAATATAAGGATCCAAAAGTATATCATGTCTAAATTCAAAATCTCTACTGTGGTTGGGCTGAAAAACCAAGTAAGCCACATAAAGTAACAATTTCAAGTTACTAAAGTTTTGGAGGTTAACAAAATACATGTGTTGCCAATGCAACCCTGTGACATAATATAGAATTATAACTGGCCTTAAAGTTATAAATTCTAAAATTGGTATGGTAAAATTTTATCTTGATCATCAATTTAAACAGGAGAATCCAGTGACATAAAATTTACCTGTAGGTTAAAGATTTATTCAATTAGACTCAACTGAGACTCTATGATAATCAAATAGAAGAATCTAGTGACACAAAACTTGCCTGTGGGCTAAAGTTTTGTTCAATTAGACTCAACTAAAATTTTATGATAAAATTATTATCAAAGGGGATAGAAGAATCTAGTGACATAAAATTTGCATGTGGGCTAAAGTTTTATTCAATTAGACCCATCTACAACTTTATGATAAAACTATCAAACTATGTTCCTTTTCTTAATCCCTGTGGGTAAATTAAGAAATATGATTTAATATTTTATCTTGACTATTTACATTAATATAATAAAATTCCTGTGTGTAGATTTTATTATACTTTATGTAATTAGTCACAAAGTGATCAAAATAACTTAATAATTTCAGTTATGAAATTGTATTGATCACTTGATATTTGTACACAAAAGAATATTAATGTACCAAGCTATTAATCCAAATTTCTTCCATAGATAATAAATACACATAAAAGAAACTAGACTAATACCACAAAATGTACACATAAAAATACTTTTGAATACATACATATATCATAACTTTATGATAGAAGACCCCAATTTATTTATATTAAAACCATATGTTAAATAAATTGACCATCCTATCTGTAATGATAAAACTCACCAAAACTATATTCCGATGCATAATTGCCTGTGGGCTAAATTATGATCATAGTTTGGTGTTTTTACCCTAATTAATTATATAAACATAACAAAATTGCCTGTGGGCTAAATTTTATTATATCATATAATTAATCACTATCAATACATCTATGACTGTATGTGATCTCACAAAATTTCAATTAATCAAAAGACACCGTGACTACTAGTTAATTAATCAAAATTATAAGATCACTAGACTATTTTCTTAATATCTTAGGCATCAACTTTAAAGCCTAAAAAACAATTATGCAGCAATGTGATAAACAATTCCAAGTGTACTCCTAGGAAAGTTGGTTGGGACAGAGCCTCATTAAAAATAACCAACTCCTTAGACAGAGCAATGTTTCAAGGGAACTAGTGGCACATTGATCCCTTCCCGAGAAACTTTTCACCGGTTCATGTTTTCTCACACTAAAGACATAATTGACGAGCAATCTTTCCAAATGTTTAATAGTTCACCTATGGAAAGACTTTTAATCTCAAGTGAACATTCTAAACGGTCTAAAGGTGCTTAAACATAATGCACTACCGTTTATTATTCCACACACAAAGTTCACCTTAACAAGGAATTATTATAATTCCTATCTTATGCAATTCTAAAGGCATAATTAAATACACATAACTAGAAAATATAATGTTATATGCTAGTGAACGATTAAATGTGAAATTCAATATGCTCATATCCAAATAAATTGTACACCATATAATAGCAATTTTAAATAAGCTATAAAATTATTATTCAAATAACAACATAAATCCAAAACTTGAAGGGTTGTGAAATTTGAATAATAATTTATAACCATATACTTTTCAATTATTGAAAAGTTTTAACTTGTAGGCCCAATATAAAAATGATTCAATGCATATAGTAAACTTTATGAGAACTAGCTTAAAATTGTAAATTCTAACCATATCAAAATCATACGATATGTTGACATTTACAAATTAAATTCTAACAAAACTAAATTGCATAATTTAAACCATAATATTATGCACTTAATTTAATTATATGCATAAAACAAACTCAAAATATGAATATAAAATCAAATATTCATACTCAATCAAAGTGGGCATCACAATCCAAAAATAATAATAATGATAACAATGTTACGATATATTGATTCCTCAGTTCAAAACTGATAATCGTTATTACTATAATTATTACATAACGGTAATAACGGAACAATCAATTTTCTTAATTGTAACCGAACATGTGACACCCCGTAAATCCAAATTCTATTTAAGGATTAATTAGATAATTAATCCTAGCTTAATTGATAATTTATTCGTAAAATCCTGAAAATTCATTAGTCGGGGACTAGAAATTGACTAGTCAATCCAAGTCAAAGAGTTGTACTCTAGGCTTAAAGAATTGTTCCCTTGTATCTTTACACTTCTCATTTTAGTAAGGGTAAAGAAGACTTTTCACCTTATGTTTGTGTCACAAGCTAACCTAGAGTCATACTTCATTTCATTTCCCTTACACCCTAAACACAAAGCTCCTCCTTCTCTCTAGAAAATTGTTAGCTTCTTCTTTAAGCCAAGTTTGGGCAATCCAAGATTCTTCAAGTTGGTCTCCAAGATTCAAACTTTCTTAACCTTGAGCATAAGGGAGGGTAAGATCCATGGTCCCTTAGTGTTTTTAATACCTTTTTAGGTGTCTTTTCTAAAAGATAGAATCTTTGTTGTCTTTTGGTGTGTTCTTAAAGTTGAAGTTGAAGGAGAGCTTTAGGAGAAGTTTTAAGGGTGTGAAAAGTGAAGGTTTAGGCTACAAGAGGTAACCCATGCTCTACAAAATCTATTTTCTTACCTATATGATGATTTCTTGACTTCTACATGTGATTTTGCTATGAAATGTGAGTTTTGATGCATTGTCTTGTGAGAATGCATATCTAGAGCTTGGTATTAGGGTTCTTGTATGCCATTGCTTGGCTATTTCTTGGATTCAAGTCATATTGTTGTATTTTGTGAGATTTTGGGTGTTTTGGACTTGAATTTGGACTTGGTGTTGAAAATTCCCGAAGGGATTATTTTTGGTACAGCAGTGTACCAGCGGGCGGAACGGCGGGTAGTGCACCACCCGCCGCCCCACTCGCGGGGTACGAGTGGTTGTGGCTTTGGTTCCCGCAGGTGGAACCACGGGTGGAGGTCCACCCGTGGCCCCACCCATGAGGTACACTTTTGGGGTTGTTCGGGAATTTGTTCCCCGTGATTCTTTTGACTCGGTAATTGATGTTTTGACTTCCCGATGTTGTTTTGTTGGACTATTTGAGTGTCTTCTTGATGTTTCGTATGTCTAGAATGATATGTTAGGAATCCATGTAAGATTTGGTGTCTTGAATCGTGCTAAGTGTTCAACCTTGTGATTCGTTGAACCATGATGAGTCTTGTATGTCCTTCGGAACTATGTTTGGTTTGCCCGTTTGATAAGCATGCTAGTTTGATGTTGAAATGCTAGCGTGTGTGGTTTGTTCTCTCCTATTGTGGATGGCAACTTGTGTTGATCATCGTTGATGTCGGATGGTAATCCTTCCTTATTGAGTATGGTTTCATATCTTTTTTGTGATCTATTGATTGATTCCTGTGACGAAAGTGTGTGGATTGGCTGTACCTTGATTGCACGGTTAATGGTATGAGACATTAATCACCAAGGTACAGATGTGGTCCTCGTGGTGGCCATGAAATGATATTGGAGTTGTAATCTGGGCTTCAAGCTCATGGGCTTCAGGCTCACTTGTTGGTGGTTGTGTGATTGAAATGAACGGTACCCTCGTGTACTATGTGTTGGTGGAAATGTTGGTGGTTGTTGGTGGGGGAACGACGGTTCCTGGAGGCATAAGGTTGGACTCAGAAATACAGGGGTTCTCGGAGGTAATGGTTCGAACTGTAATAAGGCCGGGGGTAGCCATAAGGTTGGAACAGGGCATAAGGTTGGAACATGTGACATGAAGTGTCACGGTGGCATGTAGTGCCAATGTGTGTATGTCTATCCTTTTCTGATGAGCATGTCGGGTGGTATTCTACTTTGTGATCAATATAATACGCCTCGAGTTGTACTTGTTTATTGTTGTTGTCTTTGCCTTGATGTTTTCTACTTTGTGATCAGTAGATTACATCTTGAGCTGTGTTGAGTTGTACTGTTGATGTTCTTGTCTTGATGCGGTCTCGGGATGTTGATTTCCCTTGTTCTTTTGAGAGTGAAATAGAGTCTTTGCGGTTGACTTCTCTCTTTGACTTTGAACTGATATATATATATATATATATATATATATATATATATATATATATAGGGTCGAGTTCAAATGAGGACAACAATATATAGAGGACTGTGAGGACAAATAATGGGCACACAACAAATTACTATCAGGCACACAATTTAATACATAATGGCACACAAGAATAAATGTAAGCATCAGGTTTCGAACCTAGGCTCTATTAATTAACAAATGTATGCACGCGACATACAAACTGTGGCACACGACTACATTCGGCCATGCACACAACATACAGGCTAATGGCACACACTACATCTGTCCTCACAGTCCTCTATAATATACTTGTCCTCATTTGAACGCAAGTATATATATATATATATATATATATATATATATATATATATATATATATATATATATATATATATATATATATATATATATATATATATATATATATATATATATATATATATATATCATATTCCGTTTCAAAATTGATTTTGATTATACTATCTATATATGCTATTGAACGCGTATTGATGGGTTACCAGCAATATTCGCTGACCGGGCGTCGTCCCATTTCTTTATGTGCTTTACAGGTCCTGAGTAGACATGGCGAGAGCGTAGCCGTTGGTAGTTTAGCTCCCTTGAACAATGTAGTTAGCGTTTTGGCCTGTGTGCCACAGTTGTTGGACAGATTAGTTTGATGGTTTTAGACTTGCCTGTGCATTCACGTGAGGTGAATGTGACATAACACTCCTTGGTTTTCCCTGTTTTGATAATAGACTTCCGCTGTGCTTACGTTTTATAATTTATGTTAGCTACCTTATCTTACGTATTTAAGCTTTAAAATGGCATGAAAATCGGGTGTTCTTGACTAAAATTTTACAATAAAAATTATGATCATGTTCATAAAAAAAAAAGTCAAGAAAATATATACTACTTAAGTATGAAAATATATATACTACTTAATTGATACTACTTAAGTGTGCTTGCTGCACCCAAATAAGCCTTCAAATGCAGCACTACTTCAATGGCTTTGATCAATGCACCATCCATAGCCTTCTTCTTCAATGACTTTGATCAAGTGTAGACCTTCACCAAAAATGGACCGTGATAGATTTCAAAAAGCAAAAAATCATACAAAAAACATACACAGCACTTGGAAAAACAAACTTACAAGTCCTTTCTCTCTTGCAGCTGCAAATGATCCAGCAGCAACAAAATCATCATAAGCAACCTGAGATAAAACATTTCATCAATTATACTTGAAATGCACCACCATCCATACATGTTAGGGATATTCATGTTCTGACCAAAACCAACCACCTTTCAGACTGTATAACTCCAGCAGCTTGAGGTGCAGTCATGCCTACATAAACATTATGATTAGACACTTATGTTTAACAAAATTGTAAACCATCTGCACTGCAGGATAAATGCAAGTTTACCAAAACTGTCTCCCCCTAACAAAATTGTTTCCTGTAACATACAAGGACAATTATGTTAATATGATGAACTTACAAAATTTATAGTAATGCATAGTTATTCACATCACCTTCTCGCCAGGAGTGAAGTATGTTCTCAAACCCAGTAGGGCATATGTTGTCCTAATAAGATTTCCAAGGCCACTTTCATTAACACCAAGTGATTTTAAATATTCCATCCTTTCATCTAGAGCCAGTTCAGCTAGCTCTGATTCAACCTGCATCAAGAATCTCCCAGGTTCAGTTGCAACACCATGGTGCCAATACCATATTCATCAGGTAAGCAGTATTCATCAATTCTTTAACATGAGTGTTGCTTTCAGGCTGAGCTACATCTGACTCTGCAACATTAGCCACATATATGACTGGCTTCATTGTAAGTAAACAAAGATGGTTCACAATATCCTTTTCAAAATATGTTAAGGACACTAAGTATTTACCTTCAAAAGCACCTACTACCCTAGCAAGCAGTAAGAGGGACTTTTAATGGTACCAAATCTAACCATTAGGGAGAGGAAATGCAACTTTTAAAAAATAGTATAATTTAATTCAAAATGTCTCTATTATGCAGAATAGAGCATCTCTTATGCGTGTCGGTGAGTTCATCTCAGACATGCAATTGTGTTGTTAATTCTTCATGCATTTTAATTATGCCATACTTAATAGTTTCTTGTTATTTGGTGTTATTATGTTTGGTATCACCTATGGGGACATGAAGTGTGTGCTTATTATACAAAAGTCCCTTTTTATTACTCCATTTCCTAAAGAAACCATTTCCTAAAGAAAAGATGAAGAAGAAGTCTTTGGATACATACCTGAACAGAGGCTTTTCCTTCATCCGAGATAGTAACTAAGTTTTATATGAATACCTCCACACCAAAATGGTGACTACATGTAGGAACAAAATCCATCCACTACATCACCCTTATACTGTCATGTCAAGAAACACCCAATATTGAAAGTAAGAAAGCTACGCAAAAGGAGAATGTTTAAAAGAATATATTGTTCAAAATTCAAAGCTTTCAATGAAAATCTAAAGCAACCAATGTAAATGTTGTCTTTCCCTCATTTTTCTCCCATGAATTCTTCTCCTAAATCTTGACTCCACACTTCCTTCTCTTTTTCCCTTCACTGTCAAAACAAACAACCCAATACTCAAAATCCAAGAATGACCCATTATAAGAACTTGAACTAACAACTTCAAAATCTATATAAATCTACTATGTCTAAAACAACATTCAAAACAATATAATTTGGGATGCAACCACACGGATTTAATTAAGGCTTAATCAAATTCAACAATAAAATCAGAAATTTATTATAATAAAATAAGGAAACATACAGATTTAGGGCTTAATCAAAATATGATTTAGGGATAAATGAAATTAAGAATTTAAAGATTAGGGTTTAAGATTTGAGTAATGAACTAACTTGTAGTTCAATAGAGACGGAGACGCCGGTGAGCGACTTTGACGGGAAGAGGCGACTGTCTCCATGACGACGGGAAGGAGATTTGCAGCATGAACGGTTGTCGCGATGGCGCCGAGAATATTTGACCAGAGTGGAGCAGAGTGATTCGCAGAGTAGTGAGAAGAGTGAGAAGCTGGAGCGGGAAGTCTGAAAAAGAGACGGTCTATAGCAAAACTTCGTCTACAAGAGAGAGGCTGATTGCCAAACTTCCCTTTTCCCACCCAAAGTTCTATATTTCCCGCTTTTCTATTTAGTGTCCACTATTCCAATATTCCTTTATATTTTAGCTAAACTATTTTAATTTTCGTGGAAATTAAAATGCCTACATTTTTAATTTCTACCCATCAATCAATTCGAGTTTACCAACCAACACTACAGGTTGATCGTAATTTTCGTCCAACGCGTGAGTGTTGGACGGAAATTCCGTCCAACACTCTTACGTTGGACGGAAATTCTGACCAACTTTCCGTCCACCCTTCATTAGTGACAGAAAGTTAAAATTTTTATTAAAATGCAGACCAACTTACGGTTGGACGGAAATGTTGGACGAAAACAGCGAGATTTCCAGCAGTGCCATTTAATAATAATAATAATAATAATTATTAAATGTCACATTATATCATCATTATTACCATAAATGTTTCGGATAAGCAAATTCATTAAGAATCTCAAAATATAATTCTTAACATCATTATCGAAATCATCATGGCAAAACTGTAAAGGAAAACAATATCCAATTGCCACAAACATATGCATTTTCCAAAATTGTGATTCAAAATCACACTCCATAATTAAAAATATTATTATTGAATTATCGCTAAGTTGAAAAATTCTGAATTTGCAATGAATAACCATAATAATCACATAATATTATAACAATTAGGAGATTTAATATGAAAAAACAATTGCTAACACCACAAGCCTTTAAAACATTTTCCGGGAAAATTTTAAAACTTAATAAAATTAAAATCCCAAAAACATTAATGTTGAAAAATATAATATCCAACATTTTCAACTTTAATAAACTGATACAAAGGCATACAAAGTGGTTCTTGACTAAAACTTTATGACCTTACTAATTACCATAATAATGACTGTAAATGCAAACGATTGCAACAATCGCCAAACATCTCAATATATCATCTAATCACGGAAATTAGTCACAAAGTATAGCAATTTATCTTTATCACAAATAATATACCAGTATATGATAACAATAGGCATTTAGCCATCCACATTAAGTTAATTACCATTAAAATATCACTCAATAATGATGAGATCCATACTTTATTGATCCAAGATAGGTCCCAAATAGCTTGTTCAAAATAGGTTTAAAAGTCCCAAGTGAAAATAGGATTAAAATATGCTCAAAATTAAATGTGAAACCAAACAAGCTATCTTAATAGGCTATTATATCCAAAATTAGCCTAAGGATCCAAAAAGAATAAAATCGAATATAAAGACTATGAGTTAATAATATGCTATATCCAATCTTAATATGCTTTTCTAAATGTACAATTATAACAAAATAATTTTATTATTAATATACAAAGCATGCTTGGATTTTGCAATATTAACTCATAAATACTAAATAAATTGCAAACACTTCAGGCAATTTAATATAACCTCAATATTAAATTATAATTCACATAGCAAATTCAATACTTAATGTTTGCCCAAAATTGAATAATAATTTAATTATGAATTTAATGCCAAAATTAAACTAAATGGCATCAATATTCCAAAGCAAGCAATTACCATATATTTACCATTTGCCAAAAAAAAATACAAAATTAATTAAGGTAACATAAATATGGTAATATTAAACCAAATTATTACCATTTACCAAAATTAATTAAGTAATATTGATTATAAAATAAGACAAATAAATATATATTATGGTAAATAAAAGGTAAATTGCTTTACTTAATAGGAAACGTACCAATCCAGGACGCCGTCCATCTTCATCCAAAGCTTCACCGGCAAACCAACTCCATCGCCGACAGAGAAGCAGGGAAGAAGCAGCGAAGAATCCGTTACCTGAAAGAGGAGAGGAAGCCGGACGTCGCCGGGAACCCAGCCTCGTCGTCGGAGTTTCTCATCTTCGCAGCGCCATCTTCCGCCGCCATCCTCACCGCGACGCCGCCTGAAGCCCGTCGCCCGCAACTTCTCCAACAGCGCTTAGATGATGGACAAAAGCAGATCCGGTGCTCAACAAAAAACATTCTTCTAAAACGTTTTTGCCCTGCGGTGCTCCTTATACAGGAAGAAAACGTCTCTACAACGCTTGATAGTGGAAGCAAAAAGGCGACAACGAGGATTGTCGTTGTCGCTGCCTCCCTCACGCCGGAGCGCCATGGAACCACCATCGCCATTGCCTCCCGCCTCACTCTACTGGAACACGACCCAGGAGTGGTGACGATAACTCCAACGGCTTGAGGCATCACCACTGTCAGATTATCCACCCATCGGAATGGGCGGCAGCGGGAATGGTGCTCCACCGACAGCAATGGCGGCAACCTCGACCATGCACAAAAGAAAATTCTGGCAAGTATAAATTCATTACAAAAAAATGTTTCGAAAAACATTAATTAAAATAAAAATTTACAAAAGTTTTTGAAACAAATTTTTCAAAAAAAAAAAAAAAAAAAACATATACAAAATGTATACACTTGGAATGAATTGTTGCATTTTTCATGTATATATATACATATCTAAGTTAGCAATTCCAAGTCCATCAATTCCATCAACAAGTATCCGTATAACATATATATTTTATATAAAATATATTTCATGCAATTTTGACAAACTAGGAAGAGATTAAACAGGCTCTGATACCAAATGTTAGAAATATACAAATGAAATTGACATGTTTCATATAATCTAACCTCAATAGCGGAAGCATAGGATCAAGCATACCTCCAGCCATAGTTGATATCTTCACTGCATTGTTTGAAGAACACTAAAGAACTGCTTTTTGTCTACCACTTTATCTCCTATTCAACTAGATGGTGTAGTCACAACGTCACAGGAGCAGTGGGAGGACCAAACATATATATAACCTACGTGCCATCATTATAGGTTAAGTAACGGAAACCGTTACTTCCGTTTCAAACCACAACATAATGGCCTTAAATGGCCTATTAACTTGAATATGTTGATACTCCCATCTGAATTATACTTGAAAGTGAAAATCCACTTACATCCAACTGCATGTTTTCCTTGATGTAACTCAACAAGACGCCATGTACCATTCTTCTCAAGAGCATTGATTTCCTCATTGACAGCAACCTTCCATTTGGGATCTCTTAGTGCCTCGTAGATACTTGTAGGAATCTGGACAAGATCAAGAGAAGCAACAAAGGCTCGATACATAGGGTTAATTTCCCATAAGCAACATACCTTTCTATTGGGTGACTAGTGCATGTTCTAACACCCTTTCGATGAGCAATAGGCAAATCAAGATTATCAATAGTAGTAGATACCAACTCATGGGCCATAGAGTCCTTACCTTCATGATTTTCAAGGTCAAGTAAGCTCGAATGTGTGTTTGAATAGTCCTGGTTTTGCATGTTAGCCTCTATATTTTGAAGTTTTCTCCTTCTATAAACACGAAGTTCTTTGTTTCTTTCTTCAAGTGGTGCTTGAGGATGTGAATTTGATGGAGTGTTTTTTGAGGATGGGTGGTTGTTTATTGGAGGCGAAGATGGATTGATTGTAGGAAGAGAGGATGACGGGTGATTGTCCATGATTTTTGGAGTCACATTTGATGGAAGAGGTAATAGATAACTGGATGATGTAGGTGATAAATCAGGTTGAGTTGGAGTAGGTTGATGCTGGTATGGTAGGACATTATGTGAAGGAAATGTAGCCTGATTATCCTGAAATGTTTCCCAAAGTTGATATTTTCTCAAATGCTCCCCCTGAATACCAGATTTGGGAAAGAATGATTGGTGTTCAAAAAATGTGACATCCAAAGTATGATAAACTCTTTTTGTGACTGGAGAGTAACATTTGTACCCCTTTTGATTATTAGAATACCCAATGAAAATGCATCTGTGTGATTTGGGGTTAATTTTGTTCTTTTGTGATCATAGATATGGACAAAAGTAGTACAACCAAAGATTTTGAGTGGCAATTCTGAGGAAAAAACTGAGAGATGAGGGAATGCTTATAGTAACAAAGATCGTGGTGCCTTGAACTTTAAGACACTACTAGCAGGCATACGGTTTATGAGATAAGTGGCAGTAAGTACAACTTCCCCCCGAAAGTGTTTAGGCACATGATTTGAAAACATGATGGATCGAGAGACTTCAAGGAGGTGCTTATTTTTTCTCTCAGCCACTCCATTTTGCTGAGGGGTGTTGACACAAGAACTAATATGGACAATTCCCTGATCTAACAAGTATGGGCCAAGAATTGAGTTGTAGTATTTTGTCTCATTATCAGTTTTCAAAACTTTAACTTTTTGTTTGAACTGATTTTGAATCATGGAATGAAAAGCTTTAAAAATTGATGCAGTTTCTGATTTTTCTTTCATGAGGAAAGTCCTTGTGGTCCTAGTGTGGTCATCAATGAAGGATACGAACCATCTAGAACCATAAACATTTTTCACCCTTGAAGGTCCCCAAATATCACCATGTATCAATGAAAAATGTTGAAAAGGTTTGCAAGGATTGCTTGATTAAATGCTTCGAGTATGTTTTGCAAGTTGACACACTTCGCAATGAAAAAACTTGGGTTTTTTTATTGATAAATAAACCAGGAAACAGTTTTTCAAGATGATGCGGCCCAACATATGAAGATCCATTAAGAATACTAATTGGGCCAATCACAAGGCCCAAGTCCAAACAATTAAGGCAACTCTTCATTGGTGATGTTCAAAGATGGTGGAAATCCAAGTCAAGCCCATTTGCAAAATATGAAGAATAACTCAAGGCTTTTTTATAATTGTTTAAGTGCTGATTTTGGTGATTAAATTAGGCCCAAATCAGCCCTATTATTTTTGGTCATCATTAATTTAAATTGTTTGGCATAAAAGAGAAAACACTAGTTGTATTTAGAAAGGATTCCTTAAATCCTATTCTAAATAAAACTCTATTTACTTGTTTTCTAGATTAGGTTTAGGACTCTTTTTCCCATTGTATTTAGATTACAATGCTGCCCTATACCTATAAATAGGGC